GCCTGAGCATTTGATCCTATTACATAAAGCTATAGTTTTTTTAATCTCTAAAATTAACCAAATGTAGGTAAATACAGTATCTCTTCCTTGGAGTATTTATCTCTTAACATCATTCGGTAAAGCAGATCATTTCCTGGGCAAAGAACAAGACTTGACGTTACTGTCACTCAAGTGGAGAGAAAGGTGATTTTTGCTAAATCTTCCAGCATTTGGTGGGTTCAGGACATTCCGTGAAATCCCAAAGATAGGCTCAAGTTTGCCCTTCCAGAGTGGAAAGAATGCCCCTCCTCTAATTTCACCTGGTCCTCCCGGACTGTTTATTAAAGATGTATATTTTATATCAGACAGAGAATCTCAAGTAACTTCTTGGCAAGGGCAGCTGTATTTTCAGGACCCATTAAGATTCTTTGTGGAAATTTAAATACCTCTGTCAGGCAAACAAAATCATATCAGGAATCATAGAATTTCATTGCTAGAAAGAGAAATTAGATTAACCAACCCTCACTCCTTTCCTAGAAACCTCAATAAAATAGAAGTACATTTCAACAGTCTCTTCCGGTCTGAAGGGGCCTCACCAGAAATCTAAATGAATTTAGGTGTAAATTAAAAAGCTAAAGAAAGCTATCCTGAGAAAAGGCCTTCCATCTACAAATACTGTATACATCGATACAGATGATAACATATAAGTGTATATTCCACATTAGAAGGCAGAGCCTATTTAAAATCAAAACAGACAGAAAAAACCCAGTGGCAGAAACCACGACAAGTTCAATGCCGATAAGCTTCAGCCCCTTGGAAATCCTTGTCCTTTATTAATATTTAGTAGAAATGTATAATTGCAGATGTGCGCTTGGTTGGGGTTTTATGTCGGGAGGCGGGCAAAGAAGACAGGTTTATTACAACCATGAAATATTAAACAAGCACCAGAGAAGAGGAGCGGTGTGTCCCGGACTAGCCAGGGAGCAGGCAGGCCCAGACCGTCAGCTGCACAGAGGGGGCTCCTATCTGTTTACATCACCCCTGATTAACACCTGCGAAGTTTTGGGTTACATCTTCCGGAGGCTGCCAGAGTCACTTGAAGGCATGCAACCCGTGCTGGGTGATTTCTTGAGGAAATAGGACTGCAAGGCTTCGCCTTCCTAAAACCAGTTGGAAGGAGCCTTAAAAATTCTCTCCACAGTGTGAGGAATGGGGAAAACGACTCAGAAGAAAAAAAAAAACAGAAAAACAGCACTAGCAGCCTTCCCCCTTGCCTGCCCCCACGACTAAGGAAACCCAGCGTTCAAATCCTGCCTGCCTAGTAGGACTCAGCACCGCTTTACTGGGCTCTGACTGGAACACTGAGAGAAGCATGAAATTCCAAAAATTTCTCCCGCACCACTGTAAAAATATCATGCTTCCAAAAAGGGCCGGATTGCATGCAGAGCGTAGACGGAGACCTCTCCCGTTTCCGTGTGTGTGAAAGAGTGTTTCTAGACATCTCTGGATTTCATGATAGAGAACAGCCAACAGAATGGAAGTTTGGCAAGGGTAAACTTATTACAGAATAGAGTTAATTCAAGTTTTGAAACCTGTAAGGGACCTGTGGGCAGGGGCCGGGGGACACACATTTTTAGGCTTAATATCCTTGATCTACAATCTACTATGATTTCTGCTTCTCTCTGGGTTTTGAAATTCCTCCATAGCCAGGAACCTATTACAAAGATGGGTGGATGATTTTGCAAACTAATTTCAAATTCAGGTAATCCTCACTGATTTAATAGATGTCTGAATAGGCCCAAACTCAGGCTGGTTTTTCTTTTTCCCCCTCTTCCCAACCTCACCCTTCCCCCACCCCAACTCTGTGCAAACAGAATCTCACGAGGAGACCTAGAGTTTCATGATATAAAAGTTGTTTGGCGGGTTGATTAAGAAGTCTGAGGAAGCATAATTTGCAGAGGCTCACTTTCCTGTTTTTTGGTTTAAAAAAAAAAAAGATCATCATCACATGTGATTCTGGCCTAGACTCTGTGAGAACGGTAAGTTGCCAGTCAAGTTCCCTCCGCTCCGAAGGACATCTAAACCCCAGAAGACAATATGGGCACGTCCTCTCCAATCTGAGCAGGATCATTTCTGTTAAAGACCGACTAGTATTTTGTCATCGGAGCGAAGAAATTTCAGAAACAGTGTTAATATTTAATCACATTAGTACTGGCGTGTTTTATGGCGTGACAAAATAAAATATCATTACAAAAATGGGCTTTGCCTGAGGTGTGGGGGATGATGGTGGGTGGTGAAAGACAGTGTTCGCTGGGGCTGGAACTTGGAGAAGGTACATTCAAAGCTGCTTCGTGGCTGGTGGGACCCTGGGTGTGTGTTTACAGAAAAGCAGGATGCTTTCCTTTCAATTCTTTTTTTTTCCCCCTCTCTCTACTCTGTTTCGAAGGGGTACACTTCATTCTGATTTTCAGCCAGGGCACCGGGGGCCCGTTGAAGGCTCTGTGTACCTATTTATACAACGTGCAGATGGAGCTGCGGGGTGTTATCATAATGAAAAGTTTAATCGTCCTTATTTACTACCAGTGAGGGAGCAGGAATCAGATGCAGATATCTTACAAAGCCTTAACTAGCAGTCCCAAGGCTGCAGAAGCTGTGAGTGACCTCAATTCGGGGCTTTATCTAGGAAACTGCCCTTCCTACATCAGAGTGGGAAAACAAAGGAGGTCAAGTGGGCGTCCCTGCCGAGGCTTCTCAGGCAGTCAGCCCCGAGCCGGTCCCTGGAGGAAGTTTCCCGTCTCCCCGCGTGCAGCGGACAGGGGGAAATCAACCCCGAAACTAACCAGCATCTGTTTCCAAAAAAATATTTTCCTTTGCCTGACGGTGATAATGTAACAAACAAAACAAAACATTTTCTTCATTCTCAGTCCACATTTTTTTTTTTTTTGTCTGCAAAGGAAGATGAGTCAGGCTGAGAAGGTAACAGTCCAACACCTTGAAAAAAAAAATCTCATTAAAACCACCCAATTCCTCTGCACCTAAGGCCCTTCCAAAGACTTGCAGGCCAAGTGCTATTGGTTTTTCTTTATTAATTCTCTAAATCGGGTTGTTGTTGTTTTTCTTTCTTTTTGACTCTTCTCACACCATTTTGGCCAATGTGGTCTTAATTATGGGTGCGGGGGAGGGATGGGAGAAGGGGGAGGGGGAGGGGCAGCCAGGCCAAGCCAGGTAGAAGTGACAGGGGCTGGCATTTGTGCTAACCAGCTATCGATCGGCAGGACCAAGATGTTGTGTACAAGAAAATAAAAGAGAAGGGAGGCAGAGAGACCAGGATGCTGAGTCCAACTCCATTTAGAAAAAGTGGGGGGCGGGCAGGGAGAAGCAGCGGAGGGTCCCAAACTAACCAATTTATGGCCTTGCCTGGGAGAAGCCTGGAGAATGCTGATGCTGGCCGCAGTGTCTGCTGTGCATGCTAAACACCCAGCTTCAAATGAGAGAGCGACGTCCCGGGCTGGGCAGTAGGCGAACAAAGAGAAAAGCAGCAAGGCCGCATTCATGAATTAGAAAACCCAAGCGGGAAAGCTACCCGGGACGGCGGTCAAAGCCCGGAGTTCTGAGCCACCCAACTCCTGCCGCACTTCCCCTCCCCCTCTCCCTCCGCCCCCATCCCCTGGTCCTAAAACCTACCCGAACCTTAAACCCTGGGTCAAGAGATGGCAGGATGCAGGATGTGGACTGAAACTGAAGGTAGAAGCAGAAGGCAGAGGAGAACCACCCTAAGAGAAACAAGGATCAGTGGACATTTTTTTTTTTTTTTTAAGACAGTTACATCGCCAGCTACAGGCTCCAAGGTAATAGCCTGGTGAGACCAAGGGGATCCAGGGAGGTTTTAAAAGCAAAAGGTAGGAATGGGGTGGGGGTAGAAAATGATGCTACCTAAAAAGGCCCCATAAAAAAATAGAACAGATATCTACTGCAGCCCCGGTCACCTTTAGGTAAAAAAACAACTATCATTACTTTAAGGCAATGGTGGTCCATTTTACTACCCCCACCCCACCCACCTTAAAGGCCTCCAGGCCCGACAGGGAGGGAGTGCTTAGAATGCAAAGGAGAACTGGGAGCAGACATCTGTCACTAAAGCCAGGCGAGATATTGACAAACTCGGGTCCTTTGTGTCTTAAGAATATATATCCATATCCCCATGCACAAATGATGCCCTGGTCGACTGGTCTGGTCTCTGCCAAGTAGACCCCACCCTGGCCCCCGCCCGCCACTCCCCCCACCCCAACCAAATGTCAAGGAGGTGCACTCTGAAAAGACTGCCTGCCTCCTACAACCCTGACAGGTCTCCAGTTTTTCAATGAAACTCTAATCGTTAAGAAGAGACAAAACAGCTATTCATTAGGAACGAATGTCAAATTAGGCGTCGCCGCTGAATGATGCTGCGGACACCAGAGCTGGTAACTTTTTCCCCCAAAGATGCTGGCACACGCGAGGGAGCTCAAGTTGCAGGCTGGCTGACTAGGAAAAGATGGGGAGGCATTAACACAGCTTCCCAGGTGTCCTGCCAGGAAGTGGAAGCTGGGGGGGGGTGGTGCAGGAGGATGGTAGGAAACTCCTGAAAAGTGGAACAGACCTGCACGTTGAGGGGTGAGGAGGGGGGTCTGAGTGTGAAAGGGAAGAGGCCTAGTCCTCAGGGCACCCAGAAACTCAGCTAAAACTTCACAGGGGGTACTCTACAATAATCCCCAAATGGGTGCCACTTTAAGTTGTTACTGCAGCTGTGAAACTAGAATCTACTTGGCAGCACCTAGGGGGAGAGAAGGGGGCCTGCCCACGGAGCCCCTGGGGTAACCAAATGAAGGGTACCAGCTCTGAGCTGGGCGTCAGGAAGGCCCTGTGCCCTGCCGGCCCCGAGGGACCCTCCCCTTTCCTGAAGCCGTCAAGGCAGACGCCCAGGCCAGCGATGGGGGTGGGGCGCGCACCCGCCAGGTGAGAGAGGAACTGGGAAGGAGCGCATATACCTTCTTTGCTGCTGGGATTCTGGGGTCTGGCCTTCTCCCAGGGCGCCAGCGTCTTGTCCTCGTCTGTGCCGTCCCCCAAAGACTTGTCCGCCGGCATGTACCAGGTGGCGCTGTGCTCCGCCATCAGCGAGTCCAGATCAATGGTGCTCATGGCGCTCTTGACCGCCTCGGAGCAGCAGCTGCCCAGCTCGCTGTCGCCATTCTGCGCGCCCGAGGCCCCGACGGCACACTCACCCTTCTTGCCACCCTTGAGCCCCAGGGGCTGGTCCTCAGAGATGCTGAACTGCTGCCTCTGCAGCTGGATCTGTGCCTGGAGGATCTCCAGGGGGTGGATCTCGTCAGGTGGCGGGGCACCGCCGCTGCTCGTCGGGGTCCGAACCTGCTCCAGGCCCGGCGTGCCGGGATGGCCCGTGCCCCCTCCGCCATAGCTGTCAGGGGTCGAGGTAGAGGTAGACAAGATGCCCAGGCCAAGCGGGGGCGGGGGTGCCTTCGGTCCGTGCTCCCCGGCGCCCACCCCACGGGGAGGGAGTTTGGGCGAGCCTGTCACCAGAGGGCTCCTACTCGCTTTGGCCAGGGCTGGGGGGTTGTCGGAGCTGGAAGACACCTCGTCCTCGTTGGCGTAACTAGTGCTCACCTCGTCTGAGGCGAACTCGCCCACGTGCGGGGAACTACCGTCCGACTTGGCCCCGCCGTCCAGGGACGCCATGAGGTCTGGCTGGTCCCCCAGGAGCAGCTCGGCCCCCTTCCCCCACGACGGCGACGTGAGCGCTTTCTCGTGAGGCGTAGGCGCCCCGCGCGCCTCTCCCGAGTTTCCCCCGACGGCTGCGCCCGGCGCCTGCTGCTGCCCTGGGCTCACACCAGACGCGCCCCCGCTGTCCGGCGCCGCCGCCGCCGAGTACTTGTCGAAGAAGGTCCCGGGGCTCACGTGACCACTGTCCCTTTTTCTGCGCCCCCGTCCCCGGCCGCCGCCCCCGGGGACCGGCTTGCCGTCGTTCCCCGACGTCGATTCCAGGGTGTAGTTGGGGGAGAGGCTAGTGCCGTCCCCCTGGGCGGGCGGATTGGGCGGCCCAGAGGCTTTAGAGCCGCTGCTACTGGTCCCCGACGGGCCTCCGGGCCCTGGAGCCCCAGGAGCAGTCCCTCCTGGGAAGTAATCCGAGCCCGGGTTGCCGGCCACGGCCGCGCCGTCGGTCTCGTTCTGGCTCAGTTTCCTCTTGCCCTCGGGCGGGTTCTTCTTGTTGAAGGTCACGTTGAGGTTGGGGGCCCCGAGGCTGGCGATCATGTTCTGGCAGGCGGTGGAGAGCGCAGCCAGGCAACTCTGGCCGAACAGGTTGTCCTTGGAGCTGGGCTTGTTGAAGGAGCCCAGCGAGAGCGCGCCCAGCTTACTGGCCGAGGTTCGCTGGCTGGGCTGAAAGTCAGGCTGCGGCGGGTATGCGCTCCCGCCGCCGCCGCCGCCGCCACCGCCGCCACCGCCCGTGCTGCCGCCGCCCCCGCCCGTGCTCGGGGGAGAGTTCACGCCTGGGCCGCTGTGCGGCGTGGCCTGCCGGTTCGCTGCGCCGAACGGGAAGCCAGGCTGGCCCCCGAGCGCGGGCGCCGTGAAATCAGGTGGCTGGGGCCGGCGCTCGGAGGGAGCGCTGGGCAGCCCGACCCCAGCCCCGGGCGACTGCAGCTGGCCCAGGCTGGCCAGGCTGCCCCCGAACTGCAGGCCAGGGGAGGGCAGCCCGGGCACGTGGCCCTCTCCAGGCATCCTCAGCGGCTCCTGCAGAGAGCTCCTAAACAGCACCCCCGAGCCACCGGGCGGAGGGGGCGGCGCCAGTCCTGGGTCGTGCGGGCCGCAGTCGGAGGGCAAGCCTGAACCTCCCATCCTGCGGGGCAGCAGGTCACCCGGCGGCGGATGCGGACCTGGGAACCACGCGCTCTCCTGCGCCAAGTGCTGCGCCTGCGGCTCGAACGTGCCCAGGCGCCCGGCGCCCGCGCCGCCGCTGTCGCGCTCAAAGTTCGGCTGGGCCAAGCCGCCCACTGGGCCGCTGTGCACCAGGCCGCCCTGGCCCACGTCCCCGGGGTGGCCTAGCTGGGCCAGGTTGGGCTGGCGCAGCCGCTGCTGCTGATTCCGCGACGCCATCTGCTTGATCATGAGGGCCGCGTTTTGGCGTTGCTGCTGCTGCTGCTGCTGCTGTAGGGACGGGTGGTCCGGGGCCGGATGCTGCAGAGGGGGCCCCGAGGGGAAGCTGTCGGGCACAGGCGGCGTGAACTCGCCGGGCAGGCCGGAATAGGCAGAGGGCGAGAGGTGGTTGTCCAGAGCGCCATTGTGCATGCTGCCGTTCCACGAAGCGCAGCGATCCACTCCCGCGCTGGCCGGGAAGTCAAAACGCGGCCTCTTGGCCACGTTCATGTAGGGGGGTGCGTCGAAATGCTGCAGCCGCTGGTTGGGCGCCTGCTGCATGTTGAATACAGGCTCGGAATAAGGGTGCATGCTCCGGTTCTCCAGCCGGTGGATGGGGTACTCGAACTGCGCGTGTTGGTTGGGCAGCATGGGCCCCCCGTCCTGCAGGCCGCTGCTGGGCGTGCCCGCCTCGCCCTGCTGGGGACGCGGGAGCGCGGGCGGACACGAATTTTGTCGGACCAGAAGCCCAGGCGGTGGCGGCGGCGGCTGCTGCGGGGGCGGCTGCTGCGGAGGCGGCGGGGCCTGCGGCGGGGGCGGCTGCTGCGGGGGCGGCGGGGCCTGCTGGGGAGGCTGCATCAACGGGTGCCTGGAGCCGACCCCAGGCTCCAGCCCCACGGGCATCTTGCGGGTCCCGCCGAACCTCTCGAAGAACACGCCGTGCTGCTGCTGCTGCTGCTGCTGCTGCTGCGCGTGCATTTTCGACAAGCCCACCATGCCTGCAGCCCTGGGCATGGCCGAGGCACCCGGGAAAGAGCCCCCGGGAACCTGACGACCCGCTGCATAATGAGGCAGCTGCCCCTCGGAATCAGAGGGAGAAAACATGTCGAAATGTCCCGAGGGCGGCTCGCCCGGGTAATTGTATTCCAGCGAGTCGACGGCTCCTTGGTTCGCCACCCTCCGGGGCTCCAGACTGTGGGAATCGGAGCCACCGGAGGCGGGCAGGCCGTGGAAGGAGGCGGCTCGGTTAGGGCTCTGGTCCAGCGGCAAGCATGGGGCAGGCACGGCATGGCCCGAGGCGCCCGAACTGTGGAAGTCCGGCAGGTTCCCGGGTCGCTGCGGGCCGAAGCTCTCCGGCCCCTGGCTCTCAGCCATATGATCGTAACCCTCGGCGAAGGGCGGCTGGCTGCCCAAGCCGCCGGCAGCGCCGCCGTAGCCGAGCAGGCGACCCCCGTGCAGGCACGAGGCCCCTGGATCCGGCCCGCCAAAGTTGCCCCCAAAGTGGGGGTGATGCTGGTGGGGGTGGTGGCCTCCCGAGTGGCCGTGGTGCGGCTGTTGGCCTCCAAAGAATCCGTGCACCGGCTGCGCCTGCAGCCCCCCCGCGTGCAACTCCGAGTGGCTGCGCGCGTGAAAGCCGTAAGGCTCCATGTTCATGCCCAAGATCGGGGGTTCGCCCAGCCCGCTCATGGCAGGGTCCACGGGGCCAGGGGGTCCCCCCGCGTGGAAAGCCGGGGCCTTAAAGTGGGCGTTCATGCTTAGTCCGGCCTCGTTAAAGTTCCTCTCGCCCTGGCCAGCGTTCCTGCTGTTGATCTGGGGCTCGAATTGGTCCAGCCCAAACATACTTGGCGGGGGGCGGGGGGATCAATAGGGCATGACAGCCTGC